CAACAAATAAATTCTTATTAAATAAAGTCATTTCTATTTCCATGTTAATACCATAGTTTAATTATAATATATAATACAAGTTTATAAATAAAAATTATCCATAAATTAAAGCCCTCATAACTTAACAATTACTTTTATTTTATTGCATTTTAATACAGTAATTATGTTATTTGACTTCATTATTATATGTTAGGAAATAATAATTTTTAATTTAAACTGCATTTAAATTTTAAAATAAAAATCTTCCGTAAATAACAAACTATTGGCCAAACAATTAACAACTTATACAGAATTTAGTGCAGAATATTCTCAATTGAGAAAGGTACAAATAACAAGTCAAACACACAATAAAATTAGTGTAAATTTCCTAGATTGTTTGTAATACAATTAATTAATTTGCATTCATATTGTATTGATTAAAACAACCCATAAATTAAATTCAATAACTGATCACAACTTAAACCACTGTTTAGTTCACAAAACACTCAAACTTAACGTCAAATGCAATGCAAACAAAGTCTCCGTCTATTGGTTTGCAGTGAACTGAATGTCACGTGATTTCGATATTTTCATTCAATCAGTCCATCAATTGATCCCAACTTTGAAAGTGTGGACACAATGTCTTGCGATCACATCCGACACAACTTGGATGGCATTCGTGGCCGAGTGTCACAAGCGGTCACCCGAAGAGCTCAGACATGGGGTGCGCCCGAGAAAGAGGTACGACTGGCGGCCGCATCCAAGACACAGTCCCCGGAGATGATAGTAGAGGCCTACCGGTGCGGTCAGAGGGTGTTCGCCGAGAACTACATACAAGAGTTGTGTTCCAAAGCCGTGGACCCGTTGATAGTGGCGGCGTGTCCTGAGATCCAGTGGCGACTCATTGGACACATTCAGACCAATAAAGTCAATCAACTCTTAAGAGTCGATCGCTTGACTGCCATCGAAACCATCGATTCCCAGAAATTGGCTCAAAGTCTGGAGAAGGCGTTGTCGCAGAGGCAGCGCACCATCGATGCGATGGTTCAGATCAACTCGGGTGAGGAGGACGTGA